ACGGCCCACGTAAATCTTTGTATTTTCAGTTAGAGACGCGCGTTGTGACTGTGTTAGCCAGGCTGGTCTCGATCTACCTGAACTCCAGTGATCCGCACCACCTCGCCTAACCTAGGCCTCCCAAAGTGCTGGGATTAAGCGTGGATAGCCACTGTGCCAGCCTTATTTTTTTTTTTTTTGTGACAAGAGTCTTAATCTGTCACCCAGGCTGGAGTGCATGGGATGATTTCAGCTCCAGCTGCAACCCTCCGTCCTGCCAGGTAAAAGTGATTCTCCCGCCTCAGCCTATCGAGCTAGCTGGGCGATTACATGCCGCGCCCACGCATCATGCCCAGCCACTAATTTTGCTATCTTCTGTACAGATTGGGGTCACCAGTTGGCCAGGCTGGTTGAACTCCTGACCTCAAGTGATCCGCCCGCCTTTGCCGTCCCAAGGTACTGGATTACAGATGTGAGCCACCATACCCACTACCTATCTTTCTTTTTACGAGACAGGGTCTCACTCTGTTGCCCAGGCAGGAGTGCAATGGCACAAAAATGACTCACTGCGTCTTGAGTTTCTGGCGCAATCCGATTCTCCTGCCTCAGCCTGCGAGCCTGAGCTCGGACTACAGGTGCTTGCCACCATGCCTGGCTAATTTTTTTTGTAGAGATGGGGACTTACCATAGTTTGTACAAGCTGGCTCTTTTTTTTTTTTTGGATTGCAGTGGCGCGATCTCGCTGCAACCTCCACCTTCCGGGTTGAAGCGATTCTCCTGCCTCAGCCTCCGGAGTAGCTGGGACTACAGGCGCGCATCACCATGCCCGGCTAATTTTTTGAATTTTAGTAGAGACAGGGTTTCACCATGTTGGCCAGGCTGGTTTCGAACTCCTGATCTAGTGATCCACCCGCCTCGGCTTCCCAAAATGCTGGGATTACAGGCATAAGCCACCGCGCCCAGCCAGCCCCCACCTTTTTAGGAATCAGAGAGCATCTCCTTTCAGATCCGGTCCCTTCCCCGCTGGGAAAAGCAAATCTAAATTCAATCACCGCCCAGACTTACGCTCCTCCTCCCAAATCCTCCCTTAACTTGTATAGCCTCAGGCTCCGCCCATTCCAGAAAGCTTTAAATTTACCTGGAACCCGCTCCCACACCGAGAATCAGTCCTTGCCTCCTCGGGCTACCGTACTACCCTGTAACTACTACAGTGCAAAATCCCCTTCCCAGGACAGAAACTCCCGCCCAGAATAGGTCCCGCCTTCCTCCAACTATTGGGCCGCTCAAATAAAAGACACATCCCCTCCACTGGAAGCCCTGCCCCCATCTAGTACCGCACTGGTTCTACAAGCCACGCCCCTCCACGTCCCTAGAAGTCCCGCCCCCGTCCTCACCATGGCATTGACTTGCTGTACAGCGCGCCCGAAGTTGGTGGCCTGGAAGCCGGTGGTGCCGAAGGCTTTCAGCAGCGCGCGGTAATCCACACCGCGGTTGAAGTCGTAGCCCCGAACCTGGGTGCTTTCGGGCGGCAACGTCGAGCTGTGCTTTAGCACGGCGGCCAGCGCCGCCGCTGGCGCCTCCCGTTCCGGGGAACCTTCCATGCGCCTGTAGCCAGCTCTCGAGTCAGAGCGGCCCCTAGCCGGGCTTACGGCGGCCCAGAAACGCGTTAATCCCCGACGCGCGCGTCTCGCAGGAGCACAGGAAGTAGGGAAAGCGTTTTTGCAAGAAAGACCGGAAGTTGATTTATCACGTGACCATTTTTAGGCCCTGTAAACCTGGTCGCCGCCATCTTTGCGCATGTGTTCCGTAATACGGAAGCCGCGAGGAGCCTTAGGTCTTGTCTTTTTCTTTTTTCTTTCTTTCTTTTCTCTTTCTTCTTTTTCTTTCTTTCTTTCTTTTCTTTCTTTGTTTCTTTCTTTCTTCTTTCCTTCCTTCCTTCCTTTTCTTTTCTTCCTTTCTTTCCTTTTCCCTCTCTCCCTCCCTCCCTCCCGTCCGTCCTTCCTTCCTTCCTTCTTTCATTCGATACAGGGTTTCACTCTTGTCGCCCAGGCTGGAGTGCAATTGCGCGATCTCAGCTCACTGCAACCTCCACCTTCCGGGTTCAAGCGATTCTCCTTCCTCAGCCTCCCGAGTAGCTGGGACTACAGGCATACACCACCACGCGCGGCTAATTTTGTATTTTTAGTAGAGACAGGGTTTCTCTTTGTTGGTCAGGCTGGTCTCGAACTTCCGACCTCAGGTGATCCGCCCGCCTCGGCCTCCCAAAGTGCTGGGATTACAGGCGTGAGCCACCGCGCCAGGCCTTTACGCCTTTTCATGTGTTCCCGACTTCGCATGAAGATTCTTTTTTATTTGTATTATTTATTTAATTTATTTTTGAGACAGAGTTATGCTTTGTCGCAGGGCTGGTAGTTGCAGTGTTGCCAATCTCCTGGCTCTCTGAAACCCTGCCCCTAGTCAAGCAGATTCTCCTGGTCAGCCTCCCGAGTTTGCTGGGATTATAGGCACCCCACCATCCGACGCCTGGCCTATTTTTGTATTTTCAGATACAGAGGGGATTTCACCATGTGGAGAAGGCTGTCGACCTCACGGTTATGTGCCGCTTCTCGGACTTCCAAGCGGCTCGCTGGGATTACAGGCGTGAGCCATGCCCCCCGCCAAGGATTTTTAATGCCGCCGCTGGCAGACCCCCGCCTCTCTGCACCGGCCACCTCGCCTCCGTTCTTTCTGTTCAGTCACCTCGGCGGGAGACCGCTGGGTTTTTGTTGTCTACCTTTTTTTTTTTTTTTTTTGAGGGAGTCTTGCTCTGTCGCCCAGGCGTGGAGTACAGTGGCCGGATCTCAGCTCACTGCAAGCTCCGCCTCCGGAGGTTCACGCCCATTCTCCTGCCTCAGCCTCCGAGTAAGCCGGGACTACAGGCGCCGCCACCTCGCCCGGCTAGTTTTTTGTATTTTTAGTAGAGACGGGGTTTCACCTGTGTTAGCCAGGATGGTCTGGAGTCTCCTGACCTCATGATCCGCCCGTCTCGGCCTCCCAAAGTGCTGGGATTACAGGCTTGAGCCAACCGCGGGCCCGGCCTTTTTTTTTTTTTTTTTGAAGAGGGGAGGTCCTTGCTCTGTCGCCCAAGGGCTGGGAGTACAGATGGCCGGATCTGCAGGCCTCACTGCAAGCTCCGCCTTCCCGGGTTCCGTCGCATTCTCCGTGCTCAGCTCCCGAGTCAGCTGGGAGCTACAGGCGCCCGCACTCTGCCGGCTAGTTTTTGTATTTTTTAGTGAGAGACGGGTTTCAACTGTAGTTTAGGCAGGGATGGTCTGGATATCCGTGACTCAGATCCGCCCGTCTCGGTCCTCCCAAGAGTGCTGGGGTGATTAAGGCTTGGAGGCCCACCGCCCAGCGTTTTTGTTGTTGTGTTGGTTTGTTTGTTTGAGATAGTCTTGCGCTGTCACCCAGGCTGGAGCGCAGTGGCGCGGACGTCGGCTCACTGCCCTCTGCCTGCCCCGGGTCACCCATTCTCCTGCCTCCACCTCGCGGTCAAGCGGTTTAACTACAGGCGCGACGCCACAGCGCGCTGGCCTAATTTTTTGTATTTTTAGTAGAGAATGGGGTTTCACCCGTGTTAGCTGGGTGGTCTGTGATGCTCCTGAACTGTGATCCGCCGCCGTTGGCCTCCCCAAAGTGCTGGGATTACAGGCTTGAGGCACACGCGCCCGGCCTGGCTGTTGTGTTTAGATAGGGTGTCAACTCTGCGCCAGCTGGAGTGCGTGTGACGCCGATCTCGGCCCAGCTGAACCTCGCTCCCGAATTCAGTCATCTTCCCACCCCAGCATCCCGACAAGCTGGGACTACAGGTGTGTACCACCGTCCCCAGGTAATTTTTTTTATGAGGATCGCTTCTTAAGCGTCACCCATGGACAGGATTTCCATCACCAGGCAGTGTTAGATACAGTTCCAGCCTTCCTCAGCCACTTTTGTCTAATGGGATAGTGAGCCCAGTTCGTGCCCTCACAAGTCTCCAAAGCCTTCACATGCTGCATAACGTTTTGTTCTTCCTTTATAGCTGCAGCTATCACCTCCACCTCCTCTGGGAAGCCTTCCCTGAACTTCCACTGGGTCAGTGGCCTCTTCTGGGACCCAGGGCTGCCGTCTCTTTCCCACCAGCAAGACTGTGAGACCCTCAATGTCGTCTGCACCTCAAACGCACCCTCCTAACAGTGCATACGGTCAACAGGATTATTCACTCACTCTACAATTCATGCAGTCTGTTCTCTGTGGTGGACTCTGTGTTAGGCACTAAGGATTTAGTGGTGAACAAGACCAAGATGTGGACCCTGCCCTACTGGAGCTCACAATCTGATTGGGAAGATAGAAAGCTAACAATGGTGAGTACAATCAGCTTTTTTTTTTTTTTTTTTGAGGCGGAGTTTCACTCTCGTTGCCCAGGCTGGAGTGCAATGGCACGATCTCAACTCACTGTAACCTCTGCCTCCCGGTTTTTCAAGTGATTCTCTTGCCTCAGCCTCCCAGGTAGCTGGGATTACAGGCATGCACCATCACGCCCGGCTAATTCTTGTATTTTTAGTAGCGACAGGGTTTCACTATGTTGGTCAGGCTGGTCTCGAACTCCTGACATCAGGTGATCCACCTGCCTCGGCCTCCCAAAGTGCTAGGATTACAGGTGTGAGCCACCGCGCCCAGCGCAATCAGGATTTAAACAGGATGATTTGAGTCTTTAGGTGGCGGAGTTGGGTATTTTAGTTGGAGTGATGGGTGAAGAACGCCAAGGAGGTGAGATTTGAGCCAAAGCCAGAAGGCTGAGAAAATCTCCATATGTGAAGATGCAGGGAGGCCATTCCCTGCACGTGGGTAGACAGAACAGCAAAAGCCCTGAGGCTGGAATGAGCCTACCTTGTTGGAGGAGCCAGACATCCTCCTTGACATCCTCACTTGGATCTCAAAGTTGCCCCCTCAGTTCCCTCTCTACCTACCCCTGGTCTTTCTGCATCTCAGCAAATGGCCCCACCCTTCACTCATCCACTAGACTGAAAAATAGGGATTGGGGCTGGGCGCGGTGGCTCACACCTGTAATCCCAGCACTTTGGGAGGCCAAGGCGGGCGGATCACCTGAGATTAGGAGTTAGAGACCAGCCTGGTCAACATGGCAAAACCCCGTCTCTACTAAAAAATACAAAAATTAGCCAGGTGTGGTGGCACACACCTGTAATCCCAGCTACTCAGGAGGCTGAGGCAGGAGAATCACTTGAACCCAGGAGGTGGAGGTTGCAGCGAGTCGAGATGGTGCCCCTGCACTCTAGTCTGGGCAACAGAGCAAAACTCCATCTCAAAAATAAATAAAAATTAAAAATGAGGAGTGGAGCTTGCTGTCTCCCCTTTTTGCACACCCCACATCCATCCTTCTCAGCATGTCTGCCAACCTCTACCTATAAAGTAGGTCCGAAATCCAGGTGTTTTCTTTATCCTCATAGCCTACAAGGTGGCTTTGGTCTTCTTCAATCCATCTCCCACCTAACAGCTAAGATCAGAGAGCTTTTTTTCCTTTTTTTTTTTTTTTTGATGCAGGGTCTCACTCTATCACCAGGGCTAGAGTGCAACAGGACAATCACACCTCACCGCAGCTTCAACCTCCTGGCCTCAAGTCATCCTCCCACTTCAGTCTCCCCAGTAGCTGGGACTACAGACACATGCCACAGTTCCTTAACCATAAATCAAACACGTCACGGTTAAAACCTCCTAATGGTAGCTTCCCCCTGGGAGTAAAATCCAAGCTTTTCACAGTGGCCTTAAAGGGTGCCTCTCAACCTCTCTGCTTCCACCTCACACCACGTTGGCCCTCCCTCCCTCTCTCCTATCCAGCTACATGGACCTCTTTGCTGTTCGTGGAACCCACCAAGCTCTTTTTTGTCCAAGTAGCCATGTACTTGCTGGTCCCCCTGCCTAGAACACCCCATTTCTCAGTTCCTTCTCCTTTGGGCCTAAGTTAAAATGTCACCTCCTCTGAGAGGCCTGCCCTGACCACTCCTCCCCCCTTTACCTTGATTTTATTCTTCTTTCATATTCTCTTTCAGATGTATGCTCTTTCACTGAGTACATTTTCTGCTGTCCATCCCTGCCTGACTAGAAAGGCAGCTCCATGAAGGCAGGGTTTTGTCTTGTTTCATTGCTCATTTTGGTTTTTTGCACAGTGCTGGGCACATATTAGAATCTCAAGTGGGGCAAGGCTCAGTGGCTTATGCCTATAATTCCTTTGGAAGGCCAAGGATCGTTTGAGGTCAGGAGTTCAAGACCAGCCTGGGCAACATAGTAAGAACCATGTCTACAAAAAGTTAAAAACATAAATTAGCAGGGCATGGTGGCTCACGCCTATAATTCTAGCTAATCAGGAGGCTGAGGTGAGAGGATCACCTGAGCCCAGGAGTTTGAAGTTACAGTGAGCTATGATGGTACCATTGCACTCCAGCCTGGACAGAGCGAGAACCTGGGCTTTAAAAAAAAAGGCCAGGCATGATGGCTCACACCTGTAATCCCAGCACTTTGGGAGGCCAAAGCAGGTGGATCACCTGAGGTCGGGAGTTCAAGACCAGCCTGACCAACATGGTGAAACCTCGTCTCTACTAAAACTGCTAAAAATTAGCTGAGCATGGTGGGACATGCCTGTAATCCCAGCTACTGGAGAGGCTGATGGCAGGAGAACTCACTGAACCAGAAGGCGGAGGGGGGTGCAGTGGCAACCGCGCCATTGTAGTCAGCCAGGTGCAAACGAGCGAAACAGCCCTCTCACAAAAAAAAAAAAAAAAAAAAAATTAGCCAGGGTGTGGTGGCTGGCATACGCCTGTAATCCCACGGCTACTCAGGAGGCTGAGGGCAGATTAGAAATCACTTGAGCCGGGAGATGGAGTTGAAAGTGAGCTGAGATCGGCACCCCACTTGCACTTCACAGCCCTGGGCTAACAGAGCAAGACTCTTCAAAAAAAAAAAGAAAAAAAAGGCCGGACGCGGTGTCGATCAAGCCTGTAATCCCAGGCACTTTGGAGGCCAAGAACGGGCGGATCACGACGGCCAGGAGATCGAGACCATCCGTGGCTAACCCAGTAAACCCCGTCTCTACTAAAAAAATACAAAAAACTAAGCGGCGAGGGTGGCGGGCAGCCTGGTAGTCCCAGCTACTCAGGAGGCTGAGGCAGAATGGACGTAAACCCGGGAGCGGAGCTTGCAGTGAGCTGAGATCCGGCCATGCACTCCAGCCTGGGCGGACAGAGCGGAGAGCTCCATCTCAAAAAAACAAAAAAAAAAAAAAAAAGGAGAATGAAGGTATTGGAGATTTGGGCCTGAGCAGTGGTGAGAGCAGAAGAGGCAAGGCTGCATGTCGGAGATGGCAGAGTCTGACAAAGCAGATGTGTTGGGAACAGTTAGCAGGAGATCCAGCAGGTCAAGGGGAGGCCAGGGCCTCCTCGCTCCCCCAGCCAAGGCACCCAGCCCACAGGGACCCAGGTGACACATGACACCAGGGCAGCCACAGGCCCTCCTGGGACAGGGACCCCCTCAGCCGAGGCAGCAGCTGCTGCTGCAGCTGGTGACATTTCACTCCAGGAGAGTCCTGGCTTCAGAGTCCGCGCGGGGGAAGCAGGAGGAGAAAAGAGGTTTGGAGAGGACAGGCCGGATTGGGGAGGGAGCCAGAGCAGGGTGGCCGCCAGAGGACCAGGCAGCCAGAGGTGGCTTAGCCGAGGTGCGTGGGCCTCACAGGTCCGGGAGCAGCCACCCTCATCCTGCAGTCCCCAAGGAACATAGGAGGAGGTGCGGGAACCCTCGGGCAGCCCTAGGCTCCCCCTAGGGGACTGAGGTTGGGCCTGCTGCCCACAGCCCTGCCCACTTTCCCCAGATGTCCAGCAAAGTGACCATCAGTGGTGACATTGGGCAGGCCTGCCAGGCAGTGGAGCAGCTCCGGATGAAGGTGGGCATCAACCGAGTGAAGGTGAGGATCGGGGCCAGTGCAGAGTGGGAAGAGGTGGAAACACATGGGCCAGGGGACAGGTACATGCCCGTGTCTGATCTGACTGACCCAGTTGGTCTGCAGGTATCCAAGGTGGCCGCCGATCTGCTGCAGTTCTGCACAGAGCAGGCCAAGAGCAACCCCTTCCTTGTAGGCATCCCAGCCGCCACGAACCCCTTCAAGGAGAAGAAGCCCTGTGCCATCCTATGAACCCAGGACAATGCCACCCTGTGGCCTGGGCAAACCAGGGGACCTCAATAAACATGAAGTGAATAATTCTCAGGGCATGGCTGAGCCCGGCTGAGATGGGAGACCAGAGGGACTTTGGGCTTGCAAGGGCCAGGTACACACCTGGCCCAGCCTCCCTCCCCGGCCTGACCCCAGGGTCACAGCCACAGCAGCACACACAGACCCTAGAGCCCCAGACGGAGAACACGCCATCCCCCTTGCCGTCCCCAGCACTCATGGGATAGCCTGAGCAGTTACCCTTTCAAATGGCCAGGATTTCAGTCATAATCTACACACCACACACATCACACATCACACACACACACAAGTGACATCATAGACCCAGGTGACCATGATCCCCAGGAATCTCCCTCTTCAAATAAACACACAGCAACAGCTGACACGCACCCCCCAGCCCAGACTTGCTATCTCTCCCAGTCACTCCCACGAAGGCCCGCAGTCCCCCAACCCCAAGCAGGCGCAGGCAGAGCCCCAGCAGGCTAACCACACTCACACTTCAGGCCCAAGCACCAACATGTCAGGTTTATTTCTCCTTTGCTCTCACCTGAGAGCAGGGCATCCAAATCATAACAAAACCACGGCCCAAGAGCGGGGCGCGGCCCCCTGGGTAGGCCTGAACCCCAACTTCACCCTTCCCCCAGGCATAGGGCCCAGGCCAGGACCCTCACCCGAACGTGGCCAGGACTCCTTGTGCCCTAGGCCTGCGGGGTGGGGGCGGAGGCGGAGGCAGCACCAACATTGGGGATGGTCCCCCAAGAACAGAGGAGGAAGCCCAGCCTCCGGTAGGCAGTATCCACATCCACGTCCACCTGCTCAGGCCGGCAGCCTCCAGACCTCTAGCGACACGTCCCCAGAGCCGGCCACCACGAGGTTGCCCTCAGCACAGACCTGGGACCGGGGAAGGACATGAGGAGTCAGGGACGATGGCGCTCTGGCCAGCTGGGCAGGGCACATGGGGCAGGACCTTACCCTATTGAGCGTACTGTCGTACTTTCGGGTGCAGATGGTCCTTGGTGGGTCTGTGGGCACGTGCACCTGGTGAGGGGCAATGGGCCAAGGTCAAGAGGTATGCCCCTGGCTGATGGGAGGTGGGGGAGGGGCAGGGACTGGGCAGGAGCCTCACCCGGATGGACCTGTCAGTGGATGTGGTGTACAAGGCTCCCACTGAGTACTGGATCCCAGTGATGGGAAAGCTGTGGCCCACGTCAAAGGACTGCGGGAAGGGGATCAGGAAACACTCAGGCGAGGCTCTCCCAAGGCCCACCCTCCCCCACACCACCAGGGGCTCAGGGGGAGGAAGGAGGCCCAGGGGGAGGAACAGGCAGGGGCAGGAGCTCCAGCAGACCCGGATAAGCTGTAAGCAGCCGTTGCGGTTGACGAAGACGTGCAGCAGGCCGTGGTTGTCACCAGCCCAGAGCTGGGGTTCCTGGTAGGACATGCAGAGCAGGTAAGAGTCCAGCTATGAGAGGGACAAGGGACAGGACAGCTCAGGCCGCGCTGGGCCTGCGACAGTCCCCGTCTCTCCAGGCCCCTGGGGAGGGCCCACCTGCAGACGCTGCAGAACTCTGTTGGCTCGGCGGTCAACCACTACCAGGGTGCGGTCCTCGCTGCCTGAGATGATGTGCTGGTCATCCGCCATCAGGGCCAGCACGGGTCTGGAGTGTAGTTGCTGGCACTTCAACAGGGCTGGGCTGGCTTCATGGGTGATGGGCCGGGGAGGAGGGATATCAGAGCCCCTTGAAGGCCCCCTCTCCCAGCCCATGGGAGCATCCCGTGTCTCCATCCTGTCCGGCAAAACCCTCGATCTGCTCATCCCCCTACCCCACAGAGTGACCCCTCTCTCCTCTCCCACCTCAGCTAAACCCAGGCCTCCACAGGCGCCCCAGGCTTCTGCCCATCCCGGTCCCCATCCCATATCCCTCCTCCGATCCCATCTATTGTTCTTAGCACAGAGCTGACCAAGGGGGTCTCAGTTTTGCATCCACCCTCAGGTTGCCATGAAACACGCTTCTATCCCGCAGCCCTGCTCCAGCTCTGCCTGGACAAGGTACACTGGCCCTTCAATTAACGAAAGAAGAATGAATAAATAGGCCGGGCACAGTGGGTCACACTTGTAATCTCGGAACTTTGGGAGGCTGATATGGGCAGATCACCTGAGCTCCGGAGTTCAAGATCAGCCTGGGAAACGTGGCAAGACCCCGTCTCTACTTGAAAAAAAAGAAAAATGGCCAGGCGCAGTGGCTCACGCCTGTAATCCCTGTACTTTGGGAAGCCGAGGTGGGTGGATCACCTGAGGTCAGGAGTTCATGACCAGCCTGGCCAACATGGTGAAACCTCATCTCTACTAAAATTTCAAAAATTAGCCAGGCATGGTGGCAGTCTCCTGTAATCCCAGCTACTCGGGAGGCTGAGGAAGGAGAGTCACTTGAACCCAGGAGGTGGAGGTTGCAGTGAGCTGAGATCGCGCTGCTGCACTCCAGCTTGGGTAACAGTGAGACTCCATCTCAAAAAAAAAAAAAAAGAAAAGAAAAAAAAGAAAAATGAATGGATAAATAACAGAAAATACTTATGTTCCAGGCAGTGTTCCTTCTAGGTGCTTATGTAAATGAATTTATTTATATATTTTTAATTACTTTTCATTTAGATATGGGGGTCTCACTACGTTGCCCAGGTTGAACTCAAATTCCTAGGCTGAAGCAATCCTCCTGCCTCAGCCTGCGGAGTCGCTGGGACTATAGGTGGGCACCACCACACCCAGCATAAAAAAATGTACTTATTCCACCACTGTTGGTATTATCATCTTCCCCCATTAACCCATGGGGCTGGCGTGGTATTATTATCTGGATTTCACAGATGGGGAAACCGAGCTTCAAGCTTGTCTGGGGGTCACACAGGTAGGAAGTGGGACAGCCAGGATTCTAACCGGCCCCCAGGGCTGCCCAAACTTCATCTGCACCCGCTGCCCAAGTTGCCTATATTGTACCAGCACAGCACGGCCACTCTGAGTGGTGAGTATGTCGTTATGTGACTATGACCCCAGCCAGGCTGTGAAGCCCCATTGTCTCCTTCCCCAGCATGACATCTCCCAACCTGGGCCCCAGGATTCTTGGCCCACCTCTGGGGTCATAGATGGCCACCTTCTTGTCATAGGTGCCAGTCACCAGGACGTCAGATAGGTAGGAGAGGCACAGCACGGCTGAGCTGGTCCTGGGGACACACAGACCACAGGGCTTTGGCTGTGGCCGGGCAGGGTCCTATCCCCCCAGATCCCCTGCCCAGACCCCCTCACACTTTATCTCGCCGAACTGCTGCCCATCTGCTGCCAGGTCCCAGAGCTTCACTGTGCTGTCCCAGGAGCCAGAGCACACGCGGTGGTCCTGCGCTGCCAGTGACCACACCCAGCCCTGTGGGATGGGAGCAGCAGTCACACACCTGCCACAGCCCATGGGGGGGTCCCAGACTGGGATTGTTGTGTTTTTGCAGGTAAGGCTCAGAGAGGTCAAGAGACTCACCCAAAGCCACACAGCTCTTCCTCCCCAATGCCCACTGTGATAGATGCTGCAGTAAGTACAATACCCAACTTTGGCTCCAGGTGATCATCCCCATTGCACAGACGACAAAATCAAGGGTCAGAGGAAGGAACCCAGAGCAAGAACCCAGAGCAAGTTCCAGTTGATTACAGATTAAAGTTTGTGTCCATGGGTCAGCCTGACTTCACACCCCACCCAGAAACTTGCGTGAACCGGGAGGGCGGAGCTGTGCAGTTGAGCGAGGATCCGGACTGCACTCCCAAGCCTGGGGCGACAAGCGAGACTCC